CTGACATTTTCTAAAACAAAGGCAAAGAGAGCAGACATTGAACATAAAATTCACAGGGTCGCAAGGTAATTCATGCACCCAGCGAACCCAAGGAAGGAAACTTACAATACAAAAATGAAGGTATTATTATCAGGATACTATCAAAATGTCCATAGAATCATATCAGCCCTCAAGCATGTTAATGTAGATAGTTATTTTATCGACATGTATTGAGAATACAATATACTAGTAGGTTGATGAGCTGCATGATAAAGAAGATGAATAAAATAAGTATTTTGGTCCAGCCAGTATGGCTCAGTGGTTGAATGTTGACCCATGAACCAGGAGGTCATGGTTCAATTCCTGGTCAGGGCACATACCCAGGTTTCCGGCTTGATCCCCAGCAGGGGACATACAGGAGGCAGCCAATCTATGATTCTCTCTCATCACTGATGTTTCTCTCTCTCCCTCTCCCTTCTTCTCCCTGAAGTCGATAAAAATATTTTTAAAAAAAAATTTTACAGTTATAGGTATTAATCAAAGATTGGTAAGGTTCCCCTCATTGAAATCCTGTTTAAGCCAGAAGGAAAAATTTCTGAAGGGTAGGAATATGGTGATTTTATTGAGTTTTCTCTATTACATAAGTTTTCTGTATTGCACATGTGTCAGAAGGTTTTTTTTTGTTTTTGTTTTTATTGTTGAAAGTATTACATATGTCCCCTTTTTCCCTCATTGACCTCTCCCACCTGTCCCCACCCTCTCTCCAAGCCTTCACCACCTATTGTCTGTGTCCATGGGTTATGCATATATGCATACAAGTTCATTGGTTGATCTCTTCCCACCTGCCCACCCTCCCCTGCCTTCCTTCTGGGGTTGGATAGTCTGTTCAATGCTTCTATGTCTCCGTAGCTATTTTTGTTTGTTAGTTTATGTTGTTCATTAGATTCCACATAGAACATGTGTCAGTTTTATAGAAAAGGAAAATAATTTAAGCTAGTTTACATTTTATCCTATGTTGATTAGGGTAGGTAAAAGCAGGACATCATTTTATCAAACTTGCCTTCAGATAAATCTGTATATTAATACCTCAAGTATCATTTGAAAGCTATTCTGCAAGTCTCAGGAAATATAATAAGATTTTTTAATTTCCACATAAAAAGAAAAGCATTCAGGGAATAGTGTGATCTCCTAATAATAATAATAATAATAATAATAATAATAATAATAATAATAATAATAATAATAATAATAATAATAATTTAATCAAATGGAAGAAAAAATGTCCCCTAGAATTTTTAATTTCCTATTCTGTATTATTGAAAAGACACTTAAGTTCATCAAAATTTGGTTTTCAATAAAATCATATATCTGTTAAGGCATATGCCATCAATACATACCCCAAAAAAAGCTTTCTAAAAAATAAATGAACAATGACAGCTTTAGAGTGAGTACTTAAAAATTCAAACATATAAAGATTACCATGTGATAAATATTATGTAAAAAAATTTAACAAAAATTACTATCCTTAATCAATCATCTCTTGTTCCTTCTCTCTGTTTAATAAAATAGTTTCATTACAAATATGTCATGTAAGTCTCAAAAAGCAAACAAAATTTTTCCAGTCCACCTATTTCTGACACTTAGGCAGTATGATTTCATATTTTCTCCCAGTAACTTATATCTGTAGGTTAAATTTTACTTCTATTAATAAAGGCATAATAGATCAAATTTTCTAGAAGTCATTTAAATGTCTGAATTCTGCCCACAATTTCAAGTGAATAAGATTGAAAAGTTTAATATTTTCTGAGTGGTAGTATTTATTAAATTTCCATATAATTTATTTAAGTATATACTGCCAATTTCCACATAAAATTAAAGAGCTTTTTGTTTTCCTAAAAAAGCAAGTGAGGGGTAGTCTTTTCTTTTTCTTCTAAGAATAGTTTATTGATTATTTTAGAGGGAGAGGAAGGGAAAAGAGAGAAACATCAATGTGAGAGCAGAACATCAGTCAGTGCCTCCTGCATGCCCCCTACTGGGAATGGAACCCACAACCCATGCATGCGCCTTGACCGGGAATTAAACCAGCAACCTTTTGGTGCACCTGATGATGCCCAACCAAGTGAGCCACACAAGCCAGGACAGTGATGGGTAATCAAACAAAATATAAAAAAATGAAATCTAGTGCAGCCCGGCTGGTGCAACTCAGTGGCTGAGCATCAACCTATGAAACAGGAAGTCATGGTTTGATTCCCCTTCAGGGCACATACCTGGGTTATAGGCTTGATTCCCAGGAGGCAGCCGATCAATGATTCTCTCTCTTCGTCAATGTTTCTAGCTCTCTCCTCTTCTCCCTTCCTTTCTCTGAAAACAATAAATATATATTAAAAATAGATATTCTTCAAAAACCTAAAAATGTAACTCCCATTTGACCCAGTGATCCCACTTCTAGGAATATATCCCAAGAAACTAGAAACACCAATTATAAAGGATATATGCATTCCTATGTTCATAGCAGCACAATTCACCATAGCTAAGATTTGGAAACAGCCTAAGTGCCCATCAGTAGATGAGTGGATTAAAAAACTGTGGTACATCGCCCTAATATTGTATTTTCTTCTAATTAGAGTGGGCAGCCACTGGAGGGCTGTAAACTGGGAGACAATAAGACCAAATCTATATTTTAAAAAGTTTTTGTGGCCAGAGACGGAGAGGCATTGATCGGACCTTCGGGCACCTCAGAGGGAAGGTAGGGGAGTAGGGGTAAGGGGGAGAGATCAACCAAAGGACTTGTATGCATGCATATAAGCCTAACCAATGGACACAGACACCAGGGGGGGTGAGGGCATGAGTGGGGGGATAGGGGGTAATGTGGGGATAAGGACACATAGTAATAACTTAATCAATAAAAAAATTAAAAAATAAATAAATAAAGGAAAGAAAAAGAAATAAAAATAGATATTCTTTCTAAAAAAACATAGTGCCAATATTATTTTAAGTATCTTGGCTTTCTTCTTAATTAAACTGAAGCCCAAATCATTCTATATTTGGTGCTTAAGATTTCAAAGGGTTTACAAGAGAGCAATTAAAAGTTCATTCAAATGTAAAGAAATGATGAATTAAAATTATGTAGTTTCATCAACCAATCTAGTGCTGGGATTCACCTAGTCGTCATTACACAAACATCTACTGAGGGCCTATTATGTCAAAAAGTGCACCAATAATGGGAACATCAAGATGATTAAGGCACAATCCCTACCCTCAAGGAGCTCATAGCTTTCTGGGGGAAAACAGTGATAAAAGTGGATTATAAGTACACAACGAACTACAAAAGAATCAGAGAGGGGTGCCTAATTCACTCTGGGATGGGATGTGAACAGGGACAGCATCCTTGAGGAGGAATACCTTGCCTGGGTCTTTAGGAGAAGCAGCAGTTAGTTAAGTCAAAAGAAAGGAAGGAGCATATGGAAATGAGCATTCAAGCAGCAGGCACAGAAGCAAAAGGTCAGGACTCTGTGTGGTGTGCCCAAGTGAACTACACAAGCACTGCCCTGAACCCTTTCAATGTCCAGAAATGCAGCAGTTACTAATAACTGCTATTATTTTCTTTGTCATGGTAGCTCATCCCGCAGTGGCTTTGGCAGCAGTCACTGGAACAGCCACCAATAATGCCTCCAACAGACCTACCTACTTGCTCCACTCAACTGAAATTAAGAGAGTTCAATACTGGGGCAGAGGAGGTGGAAGGTTTGAAAGCAGAGTGTGCTGCTGGATCAAAAGGACCATCCAAATGCCAACCACACAAATGAATACCACACCCATCGATACCAATAAATGCTTCATTTCTTTCTTGAGTGTAACATAATCCAAATTAAAATCTAGAAACCTATCTAGCCATTTCCAAATTGCCAGGGTATATTTATAATTCTCCAGCACATTCACACTTTCATTGCCATCCAATCTGAGCGAGAATACTGGCATAGGCTGCATTGTTGTGTAAGGCTCAACTCAGCATTTACAAAGGATCGCCCCATTATGGTTTGTATTTGTATCAGGTTAGGTTTTAGATGGCCAAAGGACCAAAACAAGATTCCTCCATAAACACTTACGGCAATGCTGATGTTCATCTGAGCCATCCTCACAGTCCTGCTCATTGTCACACACCCAGGAGTTAGGGATGCATAACTCTTTACTCTGACACTGGAAATAGCCTGGCTGGCAAGTAGCGGGAGCTAAAACAAACCAGAAAAAGACTCATTATGTCAAACAACCACTCTATTATACCAACAAGCAATGCTTCTTTCAAAAGCCTATATATCAACTCCTGCTCAATGTATTTGATGGCAAATAGTAAACAACCCTATACTAGAGTGTGTGAACGCCGGTCAGAGTTCACTATCAATCTCAGCAATAGCACCACAGCAAACTGATGACCCAAAGCAATATGAAAATACAGAGAATAGAACAGCCAAACACACATACATACAACAAAGGTATGACAAAAAATATTAAACAAAATTTTTTTAAGTAAAAGCTAGCCATGAATTATTATTAAATTATCTGAAATGTTTTATAATAACTATAATAATAGTAAAGCATCATGATGAATTGGAAAACTCTTGAAATTTGGGTAAAAAGACACAGAGTCACATAACTATTATTTTTACAATTTACTTGCTTTAGGATCTTTGGCAGGTTCTCTGAGCCACAATGTATGCAACTAAAATGGAAGCTATACTTATCTATCTCATGGGTTGCTACTGAAAACCAAGTTAAATAATGTATGTGAAAGCACCATATAATGTTTGTTGCTATCGCTTTTGTCATTGGTATTGCTATCATCACTGTTCTCATCACTAAAATATAATAACCTCTGAAGAGTTGTTGGTATAACTGTTCATTTATTCCTTTATCTCAGAATACACTCTTATTGCTCTTTGGATTTAACATAAAATGAACTCAGTGAGCCCAGAAGAGGCAAAACAAATAGCACATGATCATGTCTCTACAGATAGAACTACTCTCTTGCTCAAAGTATGGTTCACAGACGAGCAGCATCAGCATAACCTAGGGGTCTGTAAGAAATACAGAATCTCTGCTCCCACATCAATCGTATGGAATCCAAATCTGTACGTTAATCCATTTGTGCATGAAAGTTTGAGACGCACTTCCCACTCTCCCTCCCATTTTCAAATGCACTGTCATCCAAACATTACCCCAAAGTTTGACTCTTCTGTTGTGCCATCGTATGGTCAACATTTCAAAACAAAATTACTTGTTCACCCGCTTTCCTGGTTTTTGGATGATAACCTTTGTCTGTGCACCTATCAGAATGAATGAAATTGCAGGAATGTGATTGATCGCCTATGGCAATCTGGGAAAGCAATGGATATAAGGGTTGGATTGGTGCACCAATTGGGGAACCTTTAATAAATGACTTACTTCTCTAAGCCTCAGTTTTCTAATATGAATCTTACCTCAGAATATTGCTGAGAACTAAAAGAAAAATATGTGTACTGGTAAGTGATTTTATCACCTGTTAATTTGGGGTTTTATGATATTATCATGTTTTTAAATAAATTTTCTAAAACATAAAATCACACTAGCCATTTCTGTGATCTCTTTATGATAATTCACACACGTTATACTACACCCTTCATAGTAAAACAGACTCCTGGAGTTACAAATCACCATAGTTCAGGTAGCATTGTTTTTTGTTTGTTCCTATTGGTGCACAAAATTTCCAGAGCGAATAATCTGAAATAGTCACATACTGGCTTCAGAAAACCACTTCCAAATTGGTTTCCATATCAAGGTCACATGATAAAAAGGAAAATAGAAACTGATGTCAATTGAGCCCCTTCTTCAAAGGGGAGTGAAACAATTATTAACACCATCAGTTTTCTATTCAACCACACAGATCTCAGCAGACTTGCACCAAGTCCTGTATCTATCACTAAAGACACAACCTTTTTGTTACAGCTGAAATCACTATGAAGGATTTGGGTCTCTCAAAACAGAGCTTACACTACCCACACCCCACTTACGGCAACCAATTTCATCAGAGTCATCCAAACAGTCTTTGGTCCCGTC